TGGGTCAGAAATCCAAAGTATGAAAATCAAACATGTACTTCTCTGAATCAAAGGCTTTTGCCATCTTACAACGATACAGCCAGAGCACTGCGAGACAGTGGAGCCTGCAACGCTGTCTGCCATATATCCAACGAGCTGAGAGATCTATTTTTAGAGTAACTTCCCTGCCTTCTCAGTGTATGCCAGACTGGCAGATGAGCGTTCTCCGAGACCCTTCACATTTGTGACTACTGAACTACTACGGTTATGGAAACTGGAGAATACAATGGCCTGCGATTACGTATGAATGAGACAGGGGCTCTCCTGGGAGCGGGCGCGAGTGCTGGTGCACACACGCATGTCTGCCGCGCCGGGGGTTGCGCCGCTCTCTCCTCCACCACAGCGAGGCCTAACGACCGTCCTGGTAGGCGATGGCGCCGCATGCCTGGGGGGTTACTTTCTTAAAAAAAAGCATTTTGTCTTTTTCCTAGCCAGCCCATTATATCTTCAGGTGCACCTCTACAGCCCAAATATTTGGTATGCTTGGTAGGGAAACGGGAAGGCAAATTGAGATAAGTCAGTGCACGGGACTGAAGAGGAACTGGTACTTTAAGTTACCCGAGCGCGTTAAAGGTGAGAAAGAAAAGAAGATGCTGAATGTTTCTGCCACCTCAAAGGCTCTCGGTCAATTGAGTACAAAGAAGAGTTCAAAGGCAAGGCAGGCTCCTGACTTCCACCTCCTAGTGTGGCTGAGGTGAGAGGTCAGGGCTGGTGGAGCCGCTGACCAATAAAACAATGTTTGGAAACTCCACTCAACAGATAAACTGGGGATCCATTTACACCCTCCTCCCTAACCACACAAACATTTCTAACTATATAGTCTAGTGTCTATCCAGCCTTGCAAGATCCTATGTTGCTTTCTTTTTCATTGTGATTCAAGGGAGACTGGGGATATGAATGTTCTATTTGACCAAAGAAAAATATCTGGTTGCGCATTTCTTCCTGCCTTCAGCTGTGAGAGGGATGGCTGAGGGGACTCTCCCTCTGGAAGGCCTTCCATGAAGGTATCTCCCCAATAAATCAATCCCTGTCCCACACCTTCTTCCTTCCATTTCAAGCCCCTAATGTACTTTGAAAAATATGCACCATCTACTCAATTTTCTTTGTACTTACACCCATATGTCCACAAGATGACTGCTAGGCCTTTGTGAGTGAGGAACACAGATTTCTTATTGTCTCCCATCATCTTCCCTTGGGGGGGAAACATGCTTAATTAGGGCTTCACTAAATTAATTAACTAGTTTATTGAGCTCATAGGACAATAAAAGGCTGACTGATACTGTTATAACTATTATTCTCTACGAATGGAAGGCACTGGCTTTTAACTTACCCAGAAGAAAACAAAAACCTCCAAGCCACCCGTAGCTTGCCCAGTGCCACGTATGCTGGCCCTTCTTGTCACTGTCCTTCAGGAGTAGATAACTGAGCCCTAAGCTGCACTTTTCTTCAAAAACCTTAGCCCAGCTGCAGCTCTTACTTACTTCAGGCTCTAGCCCTGTGTTTAACATTACGGCTGCTTCACTATCACATCCAACATCCAAGGTCAAGAAGAAAATGTACTTTCTCCTTGTTAAGGAGAATGTGTTTCTGCCTTGGAGCACCCCAATTCCCAAGTCAAAAAAGGACGCTGACCATTGTATGCACTGGCCACATTGTAGCCTTTCTGATCCTGAACTCTAAGCTGCAAGATGTTGCTGCAATACCTTCATCATCAAGATCCTACTCACATTTTTGGGGTCTATTTGGAAACTTCAACTCTATTCCATCTAGCAAGAGCAAAAGCCTGTGCTAAGGCCTCTTTCTTCCTCATCTGAAAAAACTAGTCTCTACAGAGAGTGGCCGTGAGGACAGTGTCGGAGTGAAACACCAGGGCAGCTCAGGGCATTTAGAGTTTAGGATTTCTTGGAAACGCTGCAACAGTCAGAAGGAAAACGAGTCACTTAGAAGTGGATGGAGACCTCTGCTGGCTAAAATTTTCCATGCAGCTCCCTAAGCTAGTTCCGAGTGGCTCAGCAAGAAGATCACTGCGTTCCTCAGTCTCAGGTCACTCTGGGATATCGGCCAGGGGCTCTGTGGTACCAACTACTGATGCAACAGGTTTTTTCCTACAAGTTTATGTCTGTCTTACAAAAAGATTGAAATCTGACCTCCCCAGAGAGAATTCACTAAGATGTAAATACTTTCCAGAACAAGGTATATGCTATTTTTTCAGTTACTCCTGCCAAGGTCAGGTTAAACTGATAAATGGTAAACAGAGGCAAACTGTCCAACATAATCTGGAAAGGGTCCTACAGAACAAAAGAACTCTCTCTAACATTAGAGAGATGAGACCTTAACTATCAATAGAAGAGCGGTTCTTAATCAAAGCAATTTTGTCCCGGAGGGGACGTTCGGCAATGATCAGAGACGTTTTGGTTGTCACAGCTTGGGATGAGAGTGTGCGCTGGCATCTAGTAGCTGAACCTAAGCATCCTTTATGCCTCTCCTGGAATTACTTCAACCAGACACTCAGATCAGCCCAGTCCGGAAATCTGGGGTTGGGAGAAGAAAGAGGTCATTTTTGGAACAGAGAATACTCGGAGAGGGAAGCAAAGCTACATGAAGCACTGCAGTGGAGTGCTTTAAAGGTCTAAAAAGTGGCACAGAGAAAAGGGGCATCAGAAAGCAGAGGAGAGATTTAGAAAGGAGGGCAGGGAAAGTGCCAAGAGTCACTTGCAAGTTGATATAACGTAGGGCGTTCACCACCGGAGGAGGTAACTGGCCCTAGTGACTAGAGGTGTTCCAAAGAAATGAGGGCCTTAATCACTGATGTCAAAAAGAGTCATATTCTTGCTAAGGACAAGAGTTTCACAGAGTTTTCAAACACCTGAATGGAAAATGAGAAATGATCCGGCCGACACCTTCATTTCATAAATGAGGACGCACAAGCCGAGGGAACCCTGGTGACTTGTCATGGTCTCACAATTCACAGGGACAGAGCCAGGGCAGAAACTCAAGTCTTTTGACTCCAAGTGTGTCTCTTTGAACCCAAAAGCCTAAAAGTACACTGTTTTAAATGGCGTTTGTTCACTCCTTCTCAACAGCTCTAAGATTCTGAGTTGCCTCTAAAAACGGCCAGCCAAGTTTGTCTCAGAGCCGTGCGTCCCCCACCACGCTCCTGTGGAACAACGGCATTGGGTACGTGAGCCCAAACCAAATTCTGCTCCAACAACTAAATGACTCTCTCCTACATGAAGGTGGTGGGTTTTTCTCAGTCTTTTTTTTTTTAAGACTATAGTCTAGTAACAGAACGTATCTGATGTAGCAGACAGTTCTCTATTTACTTATGACAATAAATCAAGATGCCATAAAAACACAGAGTACGAATATCAGGGCTCTTCAAAAAGCATTGTCTTTACACAAGTTGTAAGAACCATGAGTTTAGATCAAAATTCTAGAGATCTTTAGACTGATCTTCTAATTCCCTAAAATTCAGATGAGCTCATCAGTTAAGTAACAACTGGAAAGCCCAGAAACTTAAAATGAACATGAGTAGGCTATGAAAAAAATTACAGGGAAGCTAAAAATCAATCTGTGATTTGTTATTAAATCAGAATGCCAAACTGTCTCACCGATGAGCCTATTGAGGTCCAGAAGAGGCAAACCCTTGGCCTTCAGAGCTAGTTACCAGCCGAGCTGGCATTCACCACAGGCAGCCCGAGATAAGAACCCACAGGCCTCTTGAGTGTGGCTTTGGTGTAAGAAGCTCAGTCAAAATAAAGAGGGTGGCCTGAGCACACCCACAAACTCCCACTCCCTTCTAAAACTCTAAAATGACAATCAAGGGAATTGTAGAAAATTAAGGCATAATCGCTCTACGATCAACAGAAAGGCAGACGAGGTAACAGAAACAAAGTGTGGAAGCTGAAAAGCAAAAGAAGTGGTAGCTGACTCTACAGGCCCATGAGAGCCGTGCCCTAGATGGGCTGAGACAAACCCGAGTTCCTGGCAGAACCCCAAGTTGGGGAAAGGCGTGGCTAAAGGCAGAGGCCTGAGTGAAAGTATTTCAGAAGCTGTCGGAAGCCCAGACCCCTCCCCAATCCATTCAGCCAGGAGACTGGCTGGCCCTCACCCGGGGAGAGGCCTGAGGCCATTCTCCGGACAAGGTGAAACACAGGCTCCCCACCCGCGGGTAGGGGCACCAAAATTAGAACAGGACGCACGGGACACTTCCATACTTAATGCCGAGCACCCTCCAAGCCTTTTCTCCTGCTCATCTCCTCCACAGACAATTTTGATAAAATTAAAAACTTTCACAATTTATTTTTTTTTTTTTTTTTAAAAACAAGCACAGTACCAATATCGGGATAATCTTTTCAATGTTTTAGAACTTGTTTGACATTTAAGCCCAGGTAAATTTTTTCCCAGAGAAAGGGAAGCAGCAGGCCTAAACAGGACATGCAATGGAGGGCTTTAGACAGTAGGGGGCAGCCTGGGGAAGGGGTGGAGAAGGCGAAGGGAGGCTTGGGAAGGGAGGAAGGCACATTGAAATGCTCGAGGGAAAAGAAACTGGGGACCTCAGCCAGCTTAGACAACGGCATTCTCACGGTTAACAGTCACTCAGGAGCATCGCCCTGAAATGTTCCAGCTTCTGTGACTGTCATAGTTGCTACGACTATCACCTGCTGTGAAAACAACCTTCCAAAGAGGCCCAGCTTTGCATCTGGAACACAGCTCTGGCGTGACCCTAAAAGCACAGTAGACTTCCGTCAGAAGTGTTTTTAAATCTGACAGTTATTATATCAAACCTTATTTGACCGACTCACCTAAACCGTTTCCCTCTTTTCAGTTTGGTTGGTTGATACAGCGGAGGAAATAAACCCCACTCGCAGTCAGCTGCTGTTGCTCTGTACCCGAGCAGCCAAGGCCACCCCTCCACTTCGCCCCGGTCACCTGTCCAGCAGAGCTGCGTGGCCTCTTACCTGTCTCTGCATTTCTTCCGTCTGTCTTTGGGGGATGCTCTGCAAGATGCTGTACACGTCCGACATCTTTTCTTCCGGCACAACCACAGACGCTCTAGGGACAACAGCAGAACAATTTACGTCGGAGCAGCCCTTCTATACACGTCGCCTTGTTTCACTCTTACAAGCAGAAATGAGAGAGAAATCTCCTTCAGCCCCCTGTTCCTCTGGTGCGCGGTCCCTGTTCCTCCCCCTTCCTCAAAGGTCCATTTTCTCGCCTCCACTCACTACTGCGTCTGCCCTCCCTCCACTCCACCGCTGCGCCCCGGCCACACCAGCCCCTTCCAGTCACTCCAACACATGGGGCTCTGCACCGCACGGGGCCTCTGTGTGTGAAATCCCACCTACCTGGTGTGCTCTTCCTTACTCTCCACTGCCCGCTCGGAATGAACAACGGCTTTTCTCCTTTAGCTAGACTGTACATCCAAATCCATTCATTTACTCAGCATATGCATATGGAGACCCTATTAGGAACTAGGTCCTACTAATACAACAGTGGACAAAACAGACGAGGATGACCTGGGAGTGAGAGAGCCATGAGAATACCTGAGGGAAGGGCATGGTAGGCAGAAACGCTGATAAGTGATGGGCTCTGAGAAAGCAGCATGTCAGGAATATTCCAGCAACAGCAAAAATGCCAGTGTGGCTGGCAAACAGGAAAGAAGATGGGGAAGACCAGGAGATGAAGAGACACAGGATGGAGAGCCACGGCGAGGCATAAAGGGCCTTGCAGGCCACTGTAAGTACATGGGCTTTTGTTGAGCTACAAAGCCATTGGGAGGTTTTAGGCAAAGCACGGCACAGTCTGGTTATGTTCCAACAGAACCACTCTGCCTAAAGTGTTAGTGCAAACTACTAACAGCAAGACCGGGAGCAGGGAGAATGGCTAGAAGCCACCGCCAAGTCTAGGCAAGAGATGCTGACGAGGGAGGGACTGACGAAAGTGATGAGAGAAAAGAGCCAGCAGGATCTGCTAGCAGATTAGATATGCTGAGCAAGGGGCAGGGAGAACTCGACGGTGACGTATCCTTCATGGCATTTAGCGGAGTTTGTTATTATATTTGTATAAATTACTTTATTAAAATCTGAAGCTCCCGCCCCACACTAGACTAGTCCATAGGGATTGGAAACCACGCCTAGTTCCACTCACCAGCATATCCTGAGCATCTGGTGCATTGCTTAGCGCACACACACAGTTAGCACTTAATAAATATTTGTTAAATAAATACATGATTTCGACTGTACAGATGGGAAAACTGAAGCTCAAAAAAGATTAAAAGATTTGCCAAGATCACAAAGCCAGCCAGTAACACAGCTGGTTACCTGAACGCAGGCCTGCTGATGCCAAATCCAGAGCCCTTCCACCACTTCTCCGTAATTCAACTACCCAAGCAGATCTAGTTTCTCACAGAAATATCCTTCCAGACACAGCCCAGCGTCACTGCCTCTGTAAAGCCCTCGCCAGCTCCACGCCAGCCATGGTACCCGTCTCCTTCTCACTCTTCTCTGAGCACGCCCCACAGTGAGGGCTGCGTCTCATCCCAGTGTCTGGTCATTACTGGTTTACTTGTCCATCTTCCACCACCAGACCATATATGGGCTTCTTGGAGGTGAGGCTTGTCCTCGATCACCTTTGAATCCCCACACCTAACACAGTACCTGGCAAATAAAAGGCACTCAATAATGTTTTCGTGGACGTGTAAATGCCTGGAAGGGGCTCATCACTTTTCTAAGGTTAAAGAATTGCATACCGCCCTCTCCTGGCTGATTTAGGCTCCCTTCTCTGTTCTGGGTTTCCACTGCCCGCCCCGTGCATGCGTCTGTTATAGCACTTAAAGCACAATAGTATAATTGGTTTGTCTTCCTCAGTACATTCTAACCTCCTGAATAGCAGAGACTGTATTACTCACAGTAGGCTTTCCAATAATGTGAGGTGAATGAAAGAAAGAATGCACATGGGAGTGAATGCTACTTAAATCGTTCAGTATCTGGAGTGATCAGACTAGGATAGAAATTTCAAAAAAAAAAGCTGGCAGAAGAGAAGGCAATTAAGCATCTGAGACCATGTCAAGCCTGGGAAGTATATATGAAAGGAACTACTTTTCAATAATCTTTCACCTCCAAGTCCTAGGGAAATGAAATAACCCGAGACTTGCAGGCTATTCTGTTCAGTACAGCACTGGCAGCCGTAACCAGCAGAACCTCTGTTTGTCTGCCTGTACACGGGAATGTTCCTAGGCTTCCATCCACGCAGAGGCTCTCCTCCCCGAGCTGGTCACAGCGTGTAATTTCAGAGAAGACCCCAGAGTGGTGGTTCTCGACGGGGGTTGCAAATCATACGTGGGGAGCTTTAAAATTCTACATTCCTGAGGATAAAGCCCAGGAATTTTAAATAGCTCTCCAAGTAAGTATGCTCTGCAGTCTCTACAAACCACTGCTTTTGGACAAGAGTTGGTAAATGCTTTCTGTAAAGAGCCAGAGAGTAAATATTTTAGGCTTTGTGGGCCATATAATCTCTGTGGCAACTTCTCCATTCTGCCACTGTAGCACAAGAACAGTCATAGACAATATGTAAATAAAAGGGTAGGGCTGAGTTTCAATAAAACTTTATTTATAAAAACTGGCACTCTGCCATATTTGGCTCATAGGCCTCAGTTTGCCAACCTCTAGGCCAATGGACTAACTCTCCTGAAGTGAAGGACCGAAGAACAATCTACAGAACTAGTTCTCACTCCTAGGAATGCATCACAAGTACTCGGCAGCTACTAAAACCTAATACACACAGAACTGCTCCTGTAAAGCTTTCCAAAAGGTAACACCTACCTCTTCCAGTCAAGAACTTCAGAGAAAGGCAAAATGTAGGAGTCCGCAATGACGACTGGGACACAGCCAGCCCGTAGTACATCACTCAGTACGGCCTGGCCCAGCCGAGCTCCACGAAGGACCACGCAGAAAGTAGCCTCCTGCAGGGACAGAAGCAGGGAAGGGCGATTATGGGCCAGTTTGGCCAACCTGCTTACTCTGACCCCCGCAGACCATGAAGTTCTCCCCGAGGCTGAAGCCAAGCAATACTGAGGCATCCTGACCCAAAAATGCTAAAAGATATCCGCTCACACCGGTAAAACTTGAAAAGTTAACGGGTTGCAACATCTCACACTTCCGCCCTTCAGCACTACTTCAGTGCCTTCACTGCTGATATCCTGAAAATGTAAGCCCATGCCCACGTCTTCCTCTGGACAGTCAACAAGGTGACTTCCCACAGACCGGTCTCCTTCAGCTCTCGGGTTCTACATAAGTGCACCGTGGCACAGAGGCTGAACGTCGTACTTACCGCATAATAATAATTCTTTTACGAGGTATTCTCTTACCTCGTAATTATTTTGTCTGGGCATATCAGGCTCTCTAGAGGACCCCCTAAGGGGAAGGTATCAAATCTCATTTCATCTTTCTACTCCCCATAGCATCTAGCAACGTGCTTTGCATATAGAAGATAATTCATTTCATGAATGCAGTGCCTTTGAAAGCATGTTAAGACAGATACGTTCTTCTTAGAAAAAATAAATCAAACAAAATGCAAAATCTCAAAAGATTTCTCCCCCATTCACTCCCTCAATGTGGGGGACATTTGGGAAAATAAGAAATGCACAGGAGAAAAAGCGGTTGCAACAGATAAACCAAAATAAGGAAAGACTCTATCTATATAACATTCAGTTTCTCCCAGTTTTTGCCTCTTGAGGAAGAAAAAAATATTTTTTAAAAGACTATTTCATCTTTAAAACTAGAGAAAAGGAATGTTTAGGAAAAAAAGTGAAGAAATTCAATATGCCACACTCCTCTGGGGATGAATGAGAAAAGCAGCGAGAGTCGAAGAGGAGAATCAGTCACGGCGGCCGGAGGGGCAGGTGGACAGCCCGGCCGGCCCCGCGGCGGCGGCGTCCAGATGTGGACACACGTGCTGATAACCATTCTTCCTGTCTAGACAAAGGTTACTATAAATACTCGTGTTCACATCACCACTGTTATCAGTCAGACATTCCAGAGAAGATGCAGCGCTTTCTGAGAGAAAGTATTTTAACAATCTCAGCATGGGCCAATTCTCTTTGGAGATTTAAGGGGGGAAAAAAAAAATCATACCAGCTCCTTGATATTTCTCCTTGAACTAACCTGTCTGCATTTTAAATATGTAAGTGAGCAAAACTCAGTGTCTCCTTTCCTAGCCCCCACGCTCTTGGAATGTCAAATATCCTGCTTCTAAAACATCCCCAAAAGGACTGCTTCATCAGTGGTTATGAAAGTACTGCCCTTCCCATGATTTAAATATAGGACACGCCACTGGTAGGATGTGCTACGGGTGGCAAAACACCGAAGCACAGAACAATGACTAAAAATAAAAACCTACTGCTCCACAGGAAAGCTGAGAGGGGCCTTGTGGGGTAGCAAGTCAGAGGACACCAGCGGCCTCTTAAAAACTTTTCTCTGACTGGCTTATGAATACAGGGGTAAGAGCAAAATACATGGGCCTGCTTTGTCTATGTGGCTTCTTTGTAAATCTTTCGCATTTGCATTTTTGAAGCATAATGAGTACCTGAAATTAGTATGAACACTCATAGGCCAGGAAGCTTTGCAAAAACAATATGCCAGACATCACAAAGCAGCTGAGCGTCTACATATCCAGTAAAGAGCAATACTACAGTTCCTTCTCCCCTTGGGGAACTCTCCTAGTGGCAAGTGGAAACAGCTCCTATTAATTTCACTTGAGGAAGTGGCCTCCACCAAACCTTGAGAGGTAACGAACAGCACTCACCTGCAGCACCTGGGGGTAATCGAAGACCTGGTGCTGGTGGCAGCGCTTACGGACGGACAGGACGTCCTCGGAGAGGTTGGAGCACTTATCTAGCACTAACACTGACTCTCCGTGCTTGGCCTGCAGGGCTGCCAGCTCCTCTCGGTACTCGGGATGGAGGGCCATCTGAGACGACAGGAGGAAGTACCGCCGGGGGCTGTAAAGGAGCAAACAGGTGACAGAAAGCTGCAGCGAGTGTGTTAGTCAAGGTGAGACAAGCTTTGACATCACACCTACGGCAACAAGTGTTTCCTCACCAGCCTTCACATCTCTTGATTTGGGGGGAAATACTACTCCGTAGCATGGCTACATGTTCAAAATACTATATACTCTAAGAGAAAGGTACGACTCATTCACATGCTGACACATTGTGCAACACTTAAGAATTTTATTTGGAAAAGGTTCTTAGTTTTGAGAAAATGCTTACAATTTGCCAAGCTCAGAGAGCATGCTATAAATATATGTGTATGCTGACAAAGAGAAAAGCTCACTGATTGGTTGATTGATTGGAAGAAACATCAAAATGTTATCATTAGTTATATCTGATTCTCTGACCAGAAAAGGAACTGAGAGCTGGCAGCATCCTTCAAATAGGAAAAGAGGGAAACTTAATGGGCAGCACTGGTTGTAAAACCGAAAGAGATGAAAGACTGCTCCTGGCTGTTGAATGGCACCCTTACGCTGTGAAGGATAGAGCGCCCCATGGTGAGGGCCACCTGGGCATTAGGAAGACCAAACCCGTAAGTCAGAACACGTGAAAAAAAAATATCTTTACCAGAGGATGGCATCAGTCGTAACATCTGAATAGCAAGAATGCTTAAGAGAAAATGGAGTGAGGAAAGGATTCCTAAGTGTCTAGTGCCATTAAGACCTCCATAAGAGATAAAAATGAGAACACAAAGCTAGTAAGCCAGAAGTCAAGGGCAAAATTTGGAGGAGGCCAGATAGTAATCCCCTCCTAGAAGGCAAGGCTGCCAGAAAACAAAGAGGTTACAGAGCATGAGCACTAGAGAGGTTGAGAGGCCACTAGAAAAGAATGATATAAAGCAGGTTCCAGGAAGAAATGAAATACCCATCGCACCTAGAAGTAGTACTCATTTAAACCTACCTCTGACTAGTGCACACCAGGGAAAGTATGAGGGCTACACATCTCACAGGCTGGATGCTGATACAAGTCTATTCATAAGGAAGGACTAAGAACCCATATTCTGTGAACCATCTCTCTCCTCACCCTCCCCTCTTTCTCTCTCTCTTTCCTTACCTTGGAGAGAAAGGAAAGGTAATTGTTTTTATTTTTCTTTAGTTTTTTAGACTTATTTAGAGGTTTATACACCCAATGCCAAAGAACAATCACTCATTTTCTAACTGAGATCGTCTCCTTTTACTGAGCATTAAGCTTTAGGTCAATACACACAGAGGAATAAGCACTGGCCTAGCCAGCCAGATCAGCTAAGTAAACTCTAGAAAACACAGCAAAACATACCACAGCCAGATTGCTCATAAATCCTCAGAACCATTTCTCTCAGTAATTTCTTTGTACAACTGAACTAAAAGGAATGCGCATTTCTCACAGCAGTGAGCAAAGAAGGAATAAGCAGATTCCCTAGAACCTCACTCTCCAATAGCAATTAGCCACATCAGGCCATTTAATTAAAATTCATTAAACTCTGCCCTGGCTGGGGTGGCTCAGCGGGCTGGAGCATTGTCCCATAACCAAAGGGTGCTGGGTTCACTTCCCAGTCAGGGCACCTACACAGGTTGTGGGTTCAGTCCCCAGTGTGAGTACCTATGGGAGGCAGCCAATCAACGTTTCTCTCACGTAGATGATTCTGTCTCTCCCATTCTCTCTCTCTCCAAAAGCAATGAAAAAATGCCCTCGGGTGAGGGGGAAAAAAATTGTTTTAAAGAGTTATTTTATTACAAATCAGAAAACGTTTTATTTAGAAATTATAGTGAAAAGTTATGCATTGAGTTAAGGCTGAATGGCCTCTAAAGATCTTTCCAATTCCTACGACATTGGGACATGGTACGTGCTGGATGTTTCTGGAGCCTTCCTATTTAAGGAGAGCTGTCAGCATGAAACTGGCGCTCTCTGCCGTCTCCAGTAAGAACAGGCATGCTGGCATCCACGGGCTGTCCACGCAGGATGGCGCAGTGCGGGAGCCCCAGCAGGAAGGGGGCGCTCCTGCCTGATGAGACGGCCCACCTGCAGGGCTGGAGCCCTTCTGGGGTAAGACCTTCTACCTGGGGAAGAGCAGGGAGGCGGCCTGGCCCAGAGTACGGGAGCCCTGAAAGGGCGACTCAGGTGTCCGCGCTGTGGGCAGGGGAAGAACGCAGCAACCCAGCCAGGGATGCCGGAGACCAAGGGGGGTCAGGAGGGCATCGGGGAACCCCCAAGCAGTGTTCGAGCCTGGGCAGGCTGACAGGGGCGCCCCAGTTGGGGAGAGGGGGAGGGCAATGGTAATACTACCCAAGTGTGGGGTGTTGGAACCCAAAACGGGGGAGGAGGGTGTCTATGCTCGGGCGTGGCCAGTGGAGGCCTGCGGGCGGGGGCGGGGGGCGGTGGGGGGGACGGACCAGCAGCGGGAGCTCAGTGCTGGAGGGGAGGTGCTGGAGTCTGTATGAGGGTAAAGAGGGTATCTGTGCAGTGAGGGGAGGGACAGTGGCAGCAATGGAATTTGGGCCACGTGCAAGAGGGTTGATCACATAAATAAAGGTATTGCGGAAAATGGGAGCCAGGCTTCTCACTGTCAAGAGCAGGGAGGTACAAATATAAAACTGGAAATACCAACAGAAATACATGGATTTCAATACGCATACATTTAAAGGAGAGATTCATCTCCATCAATATAGAACTAAATACAGATGTTAATGTGTGGTGCTCAAGGAAACTCTCAAGTAACAAAAAAAACCAAAAGACCGTGGGTTAGACTTCACAGTTAAGAAACAAAGTTCCATTTCAGAGAGGCAGTCACCGGGACCGCTGGGACCGCTGGGTCCCCACTCCACCGCTACTCCATTTTCAGCATTCATGTGCACATGCAAACAACAGTCTGGAAATGTTCCCCCTGCTTCATGCTGGTTCTCGCTGACCTGACAGATGGTTGATGGAGTACGCCCATTTTAGCTTTAAGCAAACAAAATGTTCAGGTGGAATTTGTTTTTCTTTTCAGGACTAGCTATGACTTTCATGTTTCCTCCCAGCAGTGCCGATATCTAAGTTTGAGTAAAATCATGCTGAGAATTTGAAGTCTCCCTCAATAGTGACAGTTGTAAACTCCCAATTTAGTTCCTCTTAGAGAGAAAATGACAAGAATTCCAGCTGAGGCCAAGCACAGCTGTGAGAAGCAGCTATCAATAGCAACAACCCTCAGCTTCCCATTGAAAAAATAGAGAGATTTAAAATAAAAATAAAAAACAACGCTCTCGCTACTCTATATAGCCCTCAAGAGATGTGGGAATTCCCTTAAAAAGCAACTCTCACAAAGAGCAACAAATCCCAAATGCTGCCAGGAGGTCACCCGCCCTGCCTCCTCCCGAGTCCCTGGAAAGGATGGAGTCTGAGCCTGTCTTTGACTGATTTTTTTCTTTTCTGACTTTTTTTTTTTTTTTTTTTTTTTGAGGTTGGGGCGAAGGGGTCTGAGGTTGTTTATAAAAGAAACCACAGCTGCAGGGTCAAACTGTTGGGTTCCGATGCTGAAATCCACCCACTGGCCAGCAGAGGGAGGACTGCGCCCCCAGTGCAGGCTTGAGCTTCCTGCTGCTGCCCTTGAGGCGCAGTGTGTTGGTGCCTAGTTAGTGAACTGCAGAACATCAGAAACTCACTGAGACCTTAAGTGACCTAGTTAAAGGTCTTCATGTCAGTCTAATTATACACACTACGTAGATAGATTCACTAAGAAAAATTGCCAATACAGCCATTGAAGTCTTTGAAACGAATTATTTAAAAATAATTTTTACTGTTCCGAGTAATTTGTTGTTTTTACAATGTTTTAACTTGTTACATCAAAATTTTATTTCTTAATTAAATTGTATTTGATTGTTTATGCTATTACAGCTGTCCCAATTTTTCCCCATTGCCCCCCCCCCACCCAGCACCTCCCCACTCCCTCAGGCAGTCCCCGCACCGCTGTCCATGTCCGTGGGTCACGGGTATATGCTCTTGGGCCGCTATATCCCCCATGCTGTTCTTCTCATCCCCATGACTATTCTGTAACAACCAATTTGTAGTTCTTAATTCCTGCACCTATTTTGTCTATCCCTCCCATCTGGCAACCATCAAAGTGTCTCTGTATCTATAATTCTGCTCTGATAGATGTGTATTTACTGCCATTTTATTGTTCATAGTTCTGATCTTCTTTTTCTTCTTAAAGAAGATCCTTGAACATTTCATATAATCCTGGCTTGGTGATGATGAACTCCTTTAGCTTCTTATCTGGGAAGCTCTTTATTTCCCTGTCCTTTAATTCTAAATGACATCTTTGCTGGGTAGAGTAATCTTATTTATAGGTCCTCTCTTGCTTTTCATCACTTTGAATACTTCTTGCCAGTCCCTCCTAGCCTGCCAAGTTTCTTTTGAGAAATCAGCTGACAGTCTTATGGGAGCTCCCTTGTACGCAACTGACTGCTTTTCTCTTGCTGCTTTTAAGATTCTCTTTGTCTTTAACCTTTGGCATTTTAATTATAATGTGTCTTGGTGTGGTCCTCTTCGGGTTCATCTTGTTTGGGACTCTCTTTGGTATGTTTTCTGTCCTGGATTAAGTCTGAAGGGAATTAAGAGTCATAAAACAGTATAAGAGAGCTAAACTGCACTAGCGAGATTAGACGATACAGAGGGCTTAGTTCAAGCAGTCTTTGGAAAGGCCGAGGCCCCAAGATGGCCAAGCTGACCCGGCAGCCCTGATCCTCACCAGCTCACTCTCTGCCTCGCCCAGGCTTTCTCAACTGCACTCTGCCGACACTGGGGTCCAATAATTCTTTGGTGTGGGAGCTGCCCTGAGCAGATGCCGGGAGCATCCTATGCGGAACCGAGTTAGCACAGCAGTCCTGACTGTTCTCCTTGGAAAGGCTGGCCCTTGGCTAGTGCTCGGGAACTTCAGTTTGGGAGACTTCCCACCATCCCCAGAACTGATAAGAACTGTGCCCACACTGTTTGAACAAACAGTGCGGTTTACACTGAACACCTGCTTTCCTTCTGGGAGTCCGGAATCTGGGCACATGCCAAGCACTGACTGCCCATATAAAAAGCCTGGGCGCCGAGTTTTTAATGAGCATTCCCGTGAGCAACATTTCAAATATACTGTCACAACTTGTTGCTGGGGGAATGGAGCCCATCCTGTGCAACAACACTGGGAGGGGTCCCCTGGAGGCCTGCACTTGTTTCCCTGGACTTCGCCCCATGTACCTTTTCCCTTTGCTGACTATGTTTTGTATCCTCTTACTGTAATAAATCATAGCCTTGGTACCACTATATGCTGACTACTATGAGTCCTTCTGGCAAACCCCTGAAATTGGGGCTGGTCTTGGGGACCTGGACACACACGCCTTCAGCCATAACAGTAAAACAAGCCTCCATGTGTTGCCTAATGTTCCCAGGGGGACAAAGTCAGCCTAGTCATTCTTGGTCCAAACAGGTCTTCAGTAAAGGTTTGGGTTAAACTGAAGTGAATTAACTGAATTAAACAATTTCCAGAAGAACTTCAGGAAAAATAAAGCAAAGGATTAAATTTAAAAAAAAAACCTTTCAAAAATCACACAGCTCACTTAAATTTAATGAGCTTTTTAATTATTTTAAATTAAATTAAATTACACAGCTCAAAGAAACAGAAAGAGGAGTAAACTTTTTTCAAGGTTAACTGATTTTTCTCCCCTTCATTATAGTTATTCATATCTAGTTCTACATGAATATGCCAAATTAAAACACCAGATACATGACAGAAACTAGTACCACCCCAAAGGGTACAAGCTATACTAACATAGAATATCCTTTCTCAATTTATGGGTGCAGAGTGACAGCTAATAGGTATTGGATTTATTCTGGGGGTGATGAAAATGTTCTAGAATTAGATAGAAACCACTGAATTGAATCAAATCAGCCCGTTGTACACCTGAAGCTTGAGTGCTACACTAGTGTAGTGTTATATGTCAATTATACCTCGATTTTTAAAAATTCACTGAATGGTACATGTTAAAAGAGTGAATTTTATGGTATATAAATGATCTCAATTAAAAAAATAAAATAAATTAAGTCAACTCTGGAAGTCCACTAACAGAAATATCCAGAAAGTTGACCTAAGAAACAAGTCCATGAATGATCCTACTTTCTTTACACTTCTTTGAATTTGCATAAGGGTAGAGTAAAAGATGTTTCAGTCTCACCTGGGCTTTTTTATATAGTCTAAAATTAGTTCCATAATTTTGTTGTAGATCACATGATAGAACACACACACACACACGAGAGAAACATCTTCACTCTGGAAAAGTTCCCTTCACAAAGAATCCATAAAGGCTTCCAAAGGGAAGTTTGGGATGCTTTGAGAATGATTCCTGTGTTCTCAAATTACTGCCTTAAGACTCATTTCTAAGCCCAAATGCTATATGTAGGCTGTTAAATCTCACCCAGTATGATATTTCTAGAGGGCAATATACAAATGAGTCACCTTCATACAGGAGCACCTGGCACACGAGTAAAGAATTATCGTCATGTTTGTTTAAAGTTCACTGACAGGCTCACCAAGTTGAATGAGCACAACTTAAACAGACTACAGCAAAAAGTGGGAGATAAAATGCCCCATACTTCCATGCTGTCAGCTCTTTCCATTTACTCACATGTCAAAAATGTGAGCCAATCATGTGCCAGGCACAAAGGACATGGCAGCTAAAAAACAGACCTGGCACCAGCTTCACTGCCCCTACAAAATCCAAAATCCAAAGGAGAGGCTTTGAGCAAGTCATTACAACAGGGCACAGTGAATGCTACACCAGCATAGGGCAGGCTTGTGATGGGCGCAGAAAGCAGAAGAGCCATTCCAGAGGCTAAGGAAGCGCCCCTCCAGTAAGAGGTATTCAAGGTGAAACCTAAAGAGCAAGGAGATCATTAGTCTGATGAAAAGGAGAAGAAAGATTTCCAGACAATATGGAGAGCAAAACTGAGAGCAAAGCCTGTTCTAAGAACTACATTAGAAAAAGAAAAGCTAGAGATGGAGACAGTGGTCCTGTGACAGAGGGACCTGAAAGACATTTCAAGGAGTCTGGGCTTTATCCTAAGGTCCATGTGAGGCCAACAGTCAGACTGGAGGGCAGCCAGGCTGGAAGAAGGGAAACCAAATAGGAGGCCATTTCAGCAACAGGGAGCAATGACAGTAACCTAGCGTATGGTGGGGACAGGGGAGGTGGAAAAGTAAACAGCGCTAAGAAATATTTAGGATGTAGAATCAGTGAGACTTAATCTCTTGGTATAAAAGGGAGAGGAAGGCGTTAGGGACACCACATAGATTCCGATTTGGAAAGCCTGGTAGATAGCAGTGTACATTTACTGAGAGAACACGAGGAATAGACAGGAGTGGGGTCGGGTGGAAAACACGGCCTCAAGGACCCCGTGCTATAATCGATGCTTTGATTGCTGTGACACTCTCCAGGCTGAAGGTAGTTGGCACCTCTCTGCACCCCTGGCTGAGCCGGATGCACCTTACCCTGGCCCTTTCTCGGGGAGGTCCACCTCAGCTGACAGCGGGCTGTAGACAGGAATGCTGACGTCGTAGCCTTGCCGGTAGGTCCACGTAGAAAAGCCACCACCAGCCAATAGAGCCCTGAAAGCAAACAATTTTGTCAAACAGTAAGAAAGAAGGTCTTCACTCTGGTAAGTTCTGTAGAAAGGGACAGGAGGGTGGTTACATCCTCACTGAACGTCATGGATAGGTTCTGTGACTTTAAGCAAAATGACACACAACAACAAAATCAATTTTACCACAGGCCAATTGATAAAAACAAGAGTTAAGCGCCTGTGCATCTCATCAGTGTTACAAGGAAATGAAGGTGAACAAATGACATTACCCAAGGACCTGCTGTAATTGAGTCTTACTATCAACAGCAGCTAATGATTCCTAAGTCATTTTTCCATAAAGACACTGTGCTAAGTGTCTGACATCCCATCTCCTGGGCATCAGGTGCATTTTATCCCTGAGTTACCAGCCTTCCTCCAGAGTCCTAAGCAGTCTTTCCTTACCTTCCATTTTTTAAAAACATCACAGCCCTGAGGATACCATCTGAATAGCCCCGCTACTACCTTATTCAGAGCCCACTCGCCTCTCCCGAAGTCATACCCTGGGCTTACATACAGTCACAGCAACAGGAAGAACACCAGGTCTGCAAAGAAGACTGGCTGGGGCAGTTCCTTGCCTACTCACTGACCAGAATCTCAGGAGACAACGGGCACAGAGAGCAGCTGCGGCATCTCACGCTGCATGCGCTCCAGCTTCCCTCCAACCCCTGCCCCACGCATGACGCAGGCGGCCTCTCCCAGCAATCACCACCCATTCGTTACTCAGTCGCGTTTACCCAATTCCCTACACAGGAAGCAGAACCTGGAGTTGGACATTTAGTGCTTCTCTTCCAGTTTGCACGCACTAGCTTTTATTCGCAATTAGAAAGCTGTGAACACACTGTTTTAATTGGATCCAGCAAGCAGTAGAATGACACTTCATCAGAGAAAGGAAGCAGGTGTCTGTCACACCCACTTTCACTGTTCTTCTGTCTTTGGGATCCCCAAGCCATCAAAATCACTCCTGGGGCAAAGTTTTGCCAGCCCCACGCACTACATAGTCTAAGCCTAAATGTCTGCACTGAGAAACCACATTTTTTGCAATATTGACTGCTACCAATCCCCTCTCTGCCCTGATGACAGCGCACATTCTCTTCTAACATGGCCAGTTAAAGTTCAAAGATTTTCAAACCACCCCTGGAAATCCCAAGCTGTTTGTTTAAGCTTTCTGAAACCAAGAATTGGTTATGAGGTAATGTGCAGGCTAAAAAAAAAATCTCTCCAGCTGCCAGTCTACTCTGTAAAACTCAATGACTATTCTTAACACCAACATACGGTCTTATTTTTCCTGATTAGCATTCAGCAGTGAGTGCATCCAACATGAATCTGGGCAGATTCCACGGCCATGATGGCAAGCAGACGGGCCGGGCCCCCATGGCCTCTGTGCAGCGAAGCAAACCCAGACCCGATGTGCAGGCGGTGGGCCGTCTAGGGGTGCCAGGGGGGTGGGTGGTCAGGTAACTACACCACAGCCCCGGGGGCAGGCGAGGGGAGTGCGTAAGCGCAGAGAAAGGGAGCCGGCGTACGCCACACCGACTTTTACTGTTCCTCTATCCCTGTGGCCCCCGACCTAACTCTGTTCCTGGGGGGTAAGTTAGGGGTTACGCCCCGGTAGTAGAAAAGCGTGCAATCCAAAGCATGTCTTATGTCACAGATCATACACGTGTGATCTCCATTCGTCATCTCGGAAAGAGCCACGACTGCCATTAGTCACACAGACCTCACACCAGCCCTGTTGTTGACAAGACTTCAACTTTAAGTCACTGTATCTTCTTCTGCCAATGTTTCCATAACATTATAATGGAGAAAATATTGTAAGCATCCTTTGCTTTAAAAAACACATGTTTTACATTGACTGAAGAATGAATTTTGGAGAAGCACATTCTGTTTTCCCATTATGTATCCCAAAATCTGAGATCAGTTCCAAAGCTGCAAGAGGGTGGGTAGAAAACTCGCAGCTAAAAAAGTAGTAATATGATGATCAGACTCATGCCAGGCTAAGCGTTAAATCACTCAAAGTGTCCTCTGGCATTTTGAGCGCTTTCCACGACTTCCTGACTCTAGTTCCTCTCCTCTGTCACTGAACCCTCCCCACAGGCTCTTGTACTCATGGTGCCTAGTCCAGGTCTTTCCTCAGATGTTCTCCTAGGTCTCTTCCTCCTTTCTGAGTATTCATAGTGTCTAAACACAGTTCCTCTCCAAGCTTACCCCTTGCTTTCTTTTAAATCATGCACACAATCAGGCCTGCAAACTCCTCAAATATAAAGCTTCAGGTTTTGCCAAAAGAAAAAAAAAAATGCTGACCAACTCTATTGGTCATACGGGGTAGGGCAAAAGTAAGATCACAGCTATGAGTATGTGGAGCACAGTTTACTTATTCCTGTATTATTATTTATTAATTATTGTATTATTTTCTATGTGAACAACTGTAAACCTACTTCTTCTGCCCCACTCTGTATTTATTTATGAAATCAAACAAACTGTAAAAAATGCCTATGAGATTGGTAAATTTGAACAGTGGCTAGATATTCAGTGAATATTTGGTCACATTAAAGAATTACTGTTAATTTTTTAGGTACAATAATAGTATTATAGTTAGGTTTTTCAAAAAGCCCTCATGCAAATTCAAATGGAAATATTTACAAATGTAATGTTGTAACATCCGGGGTTTCCTTTCAAGGGTATCTGACCTTTGGGCGTCTCTGGGCCACGCTAGAAGAAAAAGAGTTGTCTTAGGCCACACATTAAATATACAAACACTAACAAAAGCTGATGAGCAAAACAAACAAAAAAAAAGATGTTAAGTAAATTTACAATTTTGTATTGCGCCACATTCATAGCCATCCTGGGCCACCTGCGGCCCACGGGCCACAGGGCGGACACCCCGTTAGCCGAGCTGAGCAGGAGTACAGCTGGAGGGGGCCGGCCTCGGGCCGGGGATCCCTGACGCCGGACGGGCTCCGTGGTATTCACTACCAGCATTTCTTCTTTTAAACAGGTTGACAATTTTCCATAACATGTTTAAAATAATAAATACACACCCACCCAGAGGAGAAATTGGTGAGAGGTATGTGCAAAGAAAGACTAATAAAAACCCAAGATAGTAATGTTACAGAACATATCTGAGAAAACAAAGATCAGTAAAGTAAGCATTGAAACAGTATAATATGCTCCCAACTAAGTTAAAATTTTAATATATATATATCTTTGTGCGTATGTATATATTTAGTGCATAACCCACAGAAAAATACCTAGTATTTAAGAACAGTGATTACCTTTCAGTTAGCGGGTGAAAAGAGAGGAGGGTTTGAAAGCATATTTTTATATTTTATTCTTTATACACTTGCATATGGTTCCAACCTTGTACAAAGAAAGTACACGTGTATCATATGTATGACTTTTGAAAACTGAAATAGAAATAAAAACAGATTGAAGCAGCATAAAAGACATTCGCTGAACAGACATTCCCTTCAGTCCTGGCCCTTCCATTTCCCCAAAGCAATGTAAGTCTATGGCACCGCACCTGCGACTTCACTCTGTAGGAGCTCTCAGGAGCGATCTAATCTAGCCCGTCTATTTTCTAGTTTCCAAACAATCTGGCATGTAGCTACTGCTGAAACCATTCTATATTCATGGTTCTTCCCTCCTCTGAATCCAGGAATAAGAACAAAGAATACGAAAAATTAACAAACCAATCTATTCCTCACCCGCACCACAGGACCACCTAGGTTTCAGAATGAATTTCCCACACGCAAAGACAGAGAAGGGACTATATGGTGATTCATTACTTGCCACAGGATTGCTTCTAATCACTTGCAAAAATACGTGCATTGGAGAAATAATTTAACCTTCCTGATCCTTAACACCTAAAAACCAGCAAGAACTTAAACTTTCTCCTCACTGCTTTACACTTCCCTGCAGAGAAATGAAACCCCATTTAACATGTGCACTTGATAAAAACAAAATCCTTCTCCTATGCAGATACATATACCAAAATGTCAGCAAAAAGCTAAATGTCTCCAACAGAAATACGCCCGTCTCCAAACAAACCCGGAACAGCAGGTGAAGACATTGCATTCCTAACAGCTCTTTTCCTTCCCCTCTCTATTCTCTGAAGTATCTCCCTTTCCCAGAACAACCAAATCCATAAAACAGTAGCCCACTCAGGGATGCTGGGGCTGGGCGCCAGAGCAGGGATCGCTTTGGGCTTCGCCAGTTCTATAGAGTTTGTGTAGCATGACTGCCCTCTGTCGTCTAAAGTGGTTTCTACGTCAAACTTGAGGAGTGGTCCTTGCGTATGTCTCTCCTAGTGATAACTGTATTTCCAGATAGAAACACAACACTGACTCAAGATAATACTTAAAGTAAAGAGGGCTTAGATTTAATGATCTGGGGAAAAGTAGCACTAAGTGTGGATTTTCATAAATGACAAGGTAGCCTCTAACAAATTGAAAACACAGCTGGCCTTGGGCTGTTGACTCACCTTTTCCAGTAACAATGATTTTAAGAGTTAACATCGATTCCAATAAAACTGGTTATAAATGAGTTCATGCATAAACTTGTAACAATCCTAACCTTTGACTATTGCCCAGGACTCTTATTTTGGGCCCAAGCTTTGTGCTCTCCTCAGTCTTGAACCTAGTACCAGGACAGGAGCCTTAAGCGGCACCTCCTCCCTGAGGTTCCCAGGATGCCTCCAGCCAAAGTGGGTCAGTTCATGTACAAAAGGGCTGATACACATACTAAATGAACTCAAAATCATAGCCATGTAATCTTGGCCACCCCACACCACACCTGCCTCTTCAGAAGGTTCATTAGGAAGGAAGAAAAAAAGGAAGGCAGGGAGAGGGGAGGGGAGGGAGAAAAAAAGGAAGAAAGGCAAAAACCCCACTGACTAAAACAATGGAGAGAAAATGATCATCGGAGTGGCCTCCTTTCCCGACGTTACAGACTCTGGGCGCCACTCACACCCGGCCCTCTTCCCCCCGTAAGCTGTGGCTCTACTTCTGGCAAGGGCTCACACACTCAGAGGGAGGTGACGCAAGCCAGTCAGGAGCCAGACCTTAGTGGGTGGGGCTGCTGCGCGCAGAAGAGCATAACCCAGATTAAGGAAAAAAGGACAATTTTTTCAGATGCTATGCGAGAACATAAGCTGTGATTGGTTCTCCACGACAGACTTCAATAAGCAGGGCTCGATAATTCTATTGCTTGAGGAGGAAAATTCCTAGGGCAATTTTTAATTTAACAAACAACGCTGATTACACAGTATGTCCCAGTAGGCTTAGAAATAAGATTTCACCTGAACAAAAGAGTCTTACATTTACTTAACCCTCAGACACCCATCACAGTGACAGCTCCAAATACACCTACCTGTCTCTGGGGACATCCAGGGCTGTGTTATAATCTGGGGGACCTCCAGGCAACATGTTAAACAGCAGGTGGTTTGTACCTCGATCCCACCTATTAAGAAATTAAACATGTAGGAGAATTCATCACGTCGATGATGAAGAAACAAAAACAAGAATCAGTTACTGGATGACAAGTTGCAAGGATCCCAGCCTGAAATCGGGCCACCTGTGAGGCTTGCAAAGTGAGCTTCTAGGAACACAGCAACACGTCACGCATTAGCTTGGAGCCTCGAAAGGAAAAAATGGGTGGCTGTGTACCCCAAGCCTGTCCACTGCAGAGCTGCTTATGATAATGAACACCTGAAAACTCTCTGAATGTGTACTACTTGGTTAAAGAAACAAAAAATAAATACGTTATAGAACACATGCAAAATGGAATGCTATCCAGTACAGCCCTAAAAAATTACACAGTAAAAGAAAATGAAATAATTTGGAAATATATTCATGAGATATTTAAGGGGAAAAGGTAGCAAAACAGTGGGTAGCATGCAATCCCATTCTTGACAAAAATCCATATGCATATATTCATATACAAAAATGATGGAAATGTAACATCAAAACATTAATAATGACTATCTCTTAGAAACAAGATTATGGAACAAGTCTTACACTCTTCCTTTTTTTACCTGTGTTTTCAGACCTTTTACACTGAACATTTATTTGTGAGTAATAAAGAGGTGGGGCAAAGTATTTAAAGGTAAAAGAAGAAGTATGGGAAGACGAGCCATCCTGAGTTTGTAAACCCTCAGAGGCCGAGAGCCCAGAGCAGCGACCCTGAAAGCAGACGGCTGCTTCCCACTGGGAGAAGCCAGCTGCCTAGGGCACTGGCCTCATGCTACAAGCCCGTGGCCCCTCCACACCCGCTCTCATGAGAAAAGAAAGAGCAGCTGGGTGTCAGCTCGAGAGGAGAAACATTCCTCTCCCTCTCCTTCCCCTTCGATCCCTGAAGCATGTGGTTCCAGTCTGTAAAAGTGCTAGATACCTAGAGAGCTGGGCCAGTGCTTGCGCTGTCTCCTTAATGCGGAGCGTGTTCTGGTTCAGCACATCGATGGACGGGACAAAGAGGCAGGCCCGGGTGATGTCGTCAGTGTAGTAGTCGCTGTCTGAGATGGCCGTGAGCAGTTCATTATACTCCCGGGAGATGGTGTCGCTGACTGGGATGCCCGAGTCGTCCACGTACTTCTTCAGGGAATAGATATACACCTTGATTTTGTTCTTTGGGTTGAAGCCACAGCGGTAGACATCAAAACACGTGTGCATCCTGCAACTGAGATCGCCCCGCTCGGGGATGGGACTATCGGCCGGCAGCCTGACGACTGGCACGTCTCGGACACTGCGCTTCTCCAGGCTCCAGTCGTTTGAGGGCTCGATGGAATGAGGCCAGAACTGAAACACGCCAGTGGCGATGAGGCCCAGGAGGACGACGGAGAAGAGGGTGATGTAGTAGATTCGGTGCTTGGTCTTCATTCTTGGGATGAGGGCGGGACCCCGGATATTGTACTTGACCGACGCGCACATAATGACACAGACAGCCTCTTCCTCACGCTCCTGGTTACCAGGCGGAGAAAGGAGAAAAACGAAGTATTTAGGGTGACAAATGACAGTTGAAAGGACTGTTTAACTTTTAATATGCCTGTGTGTTCCCTTAAGTGGTTTGATGAAATAATGAAAAGGAATTTTGATCCTTCTTTGTATATATGAATATATGCTATATAATACCCTTACTATTTAATCCTACATACACTACTTAATATAAATATTAATATTTAATATAAAACTTTAACTATATCCTATACACATATACTCACTGAAAGCGTAAGCCGGTAAATGTGTGGGCCTAGGAAGAGGGGCGCGGACCAAGGAGGAAAAGTCAAAGGTGGAACAGCTAGACTGCTGCTTCACTGTGCTTTTAAATCCTGCCTAACATAAACTGCCGCTGCCTCTGAACAAACTGATGCTTGGTTATTCTAAAGTCTGTTTTCATTCATTTAGTCACTCAACCCTCTACTGAGCAACTACCACGAAGGAAACAAAGAAAAAAGCAGAGACCCCACCTTACAGGAGCTTACGTTCTAGTAAGGGAGACAAGACAAACAAAACTGTAACAAAATGTAAAATACCCGAAATACCACTAGAAAAATATCAAAAAGTAGCAAGGGTATTAGAGAAGAAAAGATTAGTCTTGAATCTTTAGTCCTGCAGGGTAGCTCAGCTGGTTACAGCATCATCCCTATATGTCAAGGTCGTGGGTGGTTCAATGCCCAGTCAGGGCACATCCAAGAGGCAACCAGTGGGTGCCTACGTAGGTGGGACAACAAACCAAAATTTCTCTGCTTCTCTCTCATCAATAAATTTTTAAAAAATTTTAAAGAACTACTTTTAAAAATTCTTTAATCTTTAAAACATACATTGATGTTTTATAACGAGAGCAGTTTTGACACATTTACATGGAAGGAAGGAATAATGAAAGGAATGTGGAAGGAGGGAAAGAGGGAAGAGGGAGGGAAGGAGAAAAGGAGGGAAGGAACAACAGGTCCATGTGGTGCATCAATTTACAAAGACTGATGCCAACAATTCTCACTAGTGATGTGCACGCCACTTTTCCAATCAAAAGGTGGAATCTACTTTCCTTCCCACTGAATCTGGGCTGGTCCTGTGATCCGCTTTGACCAAGACAATGCGTCAGAAGTGACATTCTAGGGCTTTTAAGTCCCAGCCTTAAGAGGCCCTGCAGGTGCGGCTTTTGTCCCCTGGGAACCCAGCTGTCCCGCCGTAAGGAAGCGGAGCTCCCAGTGGAAGGCAACCCCAGAAAGACCCCAACGGAAATACTATGCCGTGCAGACATGGGCCATCCCACCAAGCTCTACACACACTGCACAATCTTCAGCAAATACATGACTGTTATTGTTGTTTTTAAGCTACTAAGTACCGGATTGGCTTGTTACTCAACCAACAGCTAAATGAAACAGCCTATAATAAGCTTCACTGACTGATAAAAAGGAAATTCTTAGTCCTCAGCTGAAAGCACAGAGTTCCCCTGTGGATCACCATTTAAGATCCTTACCAAACACACCTCTCCTATCTGACGCCGGGAGGTTAGCAAGGCACCCTGGAGTGTGTCTGCACGTACCTCACAGCTTCCATGTTACTGCAACAAACTGCTTTGGCTTCCACCTGTTGAAGTCCCAACGACAAAATGGTCTCATTCTACTCACTAATCTTTCAGAGAAGTTATTATTATAAAGGGAAATAGCTGAAAAGCTCATAGACTATCTCAGGGTTTATCAACCATTTTCACTTTGGCTAAACAGAGTTCTCCCCAGTTGCTGCCCACACCGTGAAACTTCCTAGCAGACCTGACCGTTGCAATCATTATCAGCTTTTTGGGTAAAATGTGCTGAAAAGTCATGAATGATTTCCACTTGTACCTCTCTGAGACCACGAACTGGAACACAGTAAGTTTGCCTGTCACAGACTAACATATGAAAGCTCACACCTTTTAAGCCTAAAGATTATCATCTTTGGGGTATATACATCAGCCATTCGATATATGTTCATTGATCCTATGACAAATATGCCAGCATGAGAGCTACTGCACTTCTTCTGTCATTCTAACAACCAACAGGACGTTCCCAGCCTGCCCTGTCACGCCCCCTGCGGCCTCCCAACCCCGACAGCTTTCCCGGCCCCTTAGGTATCCCCTCCTAGACCAGTGACTACAGGCCTGCGGGACAAAGGCACGCGAGGAGCTGCATCGCAGCCCGCTGCTCCCAGTCAGAACTTCCCAACAGGCTCTCGGGTCTGTTTAGATCCTGACTCAGTGGTTCTCCGACACGCAAAGGCTGAGACTCGCACGGGAGGCTGGTCCTTGGCCCTGGCACCGGAGGTCTGTATCGGTCGGCCGAAAATAGGGTCATGACACCTGTCATTTCAGCAGGTTCCTCAGATATTTATTTTCTGCAACGAGGTTTAAAATCTTCACTAAAATTAGTGGCTTTCAAACTCTTGGGTTGTTTTTTTTTTTTAACTAAAAGCTACAATAAGAAACATATTTTATGTTGTGACTCCATACAGACACAGATGTGTGTGTATGTACATGTATGTATTTAAAAATTTCACAAAACAATGTTTAACCTTAGTACACAGTACTAGCTATAGAACATTTGGTGAACATTGTATCTTTCTATTCTGTTATTCTATTGTTTTTAAAAAAATTCTAGCTACAACCTATTAGATTAATTATACCACCCAACAAAGGGTCACCCAAGTCTGAAAAACACTATTCTCGCATGCTAACAAAACTTGGGGTTAAGGAAACAAAAGTGTTCACATATGAGCTTTACAAATTTTCATGATTTGATGATTTGCAGATTAACTATAAAAGACATTATTGCAACAAAATAAACCCAAAGATAATAGGAGAAAATAAGTAAAAATAAAACACTGACGTTAATTAATTAAAAAACAAAACAGAAAGGCTCAACAAAGCTAAAATCTGGGTTTTTAAAAAGATGAATAAAATTGACATTTGACATAATTCGGGTAAGATTAATCAAGATAAAAGGAAAATGCACAAATAACCGAATGAAAAAGACAACAACTCTAAATGCTACATATACTTAAAAGATGATTGAGAGGACTTCCAGTCAAAATGGTAGCGTAGGCAGACATGGCTCTCCTCTTTGCACAACCGCAATAAAATTACAACTAAAATATAGAACAATCATCGCTCAGAACCATCAGATTGAATTGAATGGAAGTCTGACAACAATGGAATTAAAGAAACCACATCCATCTAACTGGTTGAAGGGGCAGACACACAGCATGCTGATTCCACACCCACTTATGATGAATAAAATTTAGGAGGGGTATCTTGGGAGCGAGGAGTCCCAGCCACACACCAGGCCCCCGAGCCCAGGGTTCCAGCACCAGGAGGATAGGCCCCCACAACTTGTGGCCACAAAAGCCAGCGGGGAGTGTCAGAGGAAGAAGCCTCCGAAGTCCCAACTAGTTCCTCTTAAAGAACCCACACACACACTCACCTACTCAGACTCACTCCCTCTGGGCTCCGGCCCGGGGAGGCAGCTTTTTAGGCAGCTTTAAGTGACATACAGGGAGAAACTGAAGTGTCTGGCATCAAGGCGAGCAGAGGGCATTGTCCCTTTTCTGGGCCCTCCCCCAACAGAGCCGGCAAGCTGGGATTCCATCAACCTGGCTAACAAACACTGTTCGACCCCCCTCGAGATCCCCAGAGACTCCGCCCCAGCCAACTTACTTGTCCATATGAATGGCTTGTTTAGCTTATGCTGCACAACTTCCTAAATCCTCTCAAACAAGCAGCAGCTGGCCTCAGTGAGCCCCAGGCCCAGCACTAGCAGCGGCCAGCCTAGATCCACAGTGTGGCTTCACCTGGGAATCTCCAAGCCCAGCACAGGTGGCAGCCACCTCAGATTGCTTTACAGCTCAGGCAGAGTGGCCCCGGGCAAAACACAGGTAGGAGCTGACCTTGGCCTGTACCACCTGGGAAACCCCAGGGCCAGCACAACTAATGGACAGCTAAAGACCACGTCGGAGCACCACCACCCTACCCACACACAGTGGGTCCTCCACGGAGGGCAGAGGTTGGTGGTCAGTGGTCACAGCCAATCCTTGCAACTGACTAGCCTGAGTAAATCCCTCCCATTGATCTGCCAACAGCAACCCAGGCTCACCTACAAGAGGAGGATGTACTGTACTCAGCCCACACGACGGGTGCACCTCAAATACCCAGCTTGGGTGACTGGGAGGCTGTGCCACGGGACTCTACAGGACACCTACTACAATAGGCCACACTGCCAAGACACAGACTCAAAGCAGCTCTACCTAATACATAGAAACAAACACAGGGAGGCTGCCAAAATGAGGAGACAAAAAAACAAGGCCCAAATGAAAGAACAGATCAAAACTGCAGAAAAAGAGCTAAATGAAATGGAGATAAGCAATCTATCAGATGCAGAGTTCAAAACCCTGGTTATAAGGATGCTCAAGGAACTTAGTGAGGACCTCAGCAGCATAAAAAAGATCCAGTCAGAAATGAAGGATACACTAACTGAGATAAAGAACAGTGTACAGGTAAGCAACACTAGAGTGGATGAAGCTGAGAATCAAATCAAGGATTTGGAATGCAAGGGAGCACACAACAACCAATTAGAACAATAAGAAGAAAAAAGAATCCAAAAAAAAAAAAACGAGAACAGTATACGCAGCCTGTGGAACAACTTTAAGTAACCCAACATTCACTTCATGGGGGTGCCAGGAGGAGAAGAGAAAGAGCAAGAAATTGGAACTCTATCTGAAAAAATAATGAAAGAAAACTTCCCTAATTTGGTGACGGAAATAGGCATGCACGTCCAGGAGGTACAGAGAATCCCAAACAAGATGGACGCCAATAGGCTCACTCTAAGACATATCATAATTAAAATGCCAAAGGTTAAAGATAAAGAGATAGGAGCATAGGTGTGGGAGAATGGGCACCAATAGGAAGTTGCAAAATAGCCACAGGGATGTAA